GCCAAGGGCATATTTTTTATGCCTTTTATTTGCAGTTTGTGCACCCATTTGGCATATGAGTGCAACTGAGGACTCATATCCCCTTCTCATAGCTGTGATTGATTTCTAAACATAAAATCAGTCACAAAAAACAGAATTCTGTGTAAATATGGTTGTGACTAACTCAATCTAACCCTGCAAATCTTGCTTCCAAAATGAATACAAATAACAAAATCTGAAATTGATGTCTTCATTACATCCTTTATTGTGAAAATCAAAATGTAATTCAGATCTCTTGTACAACTTGCAATAAACATGCCAGGAAGAAAGAGACTGGAGCTGTTTGGGAAGCAGCTATACGCTGTCTAAATCTGCCTTTTGTGCCCGGGACTCTGACAGAGATAGATAGCACAGATTTCTTTTCAAATGTCTCATACAGGAAAAAAACCCTTCAATGTCACTGATTTTATATTTCTTTTCTGTTTTGATCAATGTCTCCTGAATTATATATGTGTGCATAGAATGGAACAATAAGGCATTTTATGTTAGTCTGCCGGCAAGCTGTGTGGACATCACTCACACCATAACCTGCCTAATCAAGGTTCAGGTATAATTTTTCAACATCTCTTTCCTGTGCTTCAGCTATCCTGTGCAAACAATGACATATTAGTGCCAAGCTACAGAACATTTTCTTCCTGCTTAGTAACATTCCCAAGGATGTGCTACCAGAGCTTCTGGTCCAGCTTATAGTAAGTCAGCGAGCTATTTTACACACAGCTACAGTTTCACAACTGGATTTGATGACACAGCATTACACAGAACAGTGTGACCTGAAATATATTTTTAAAATTTAACAGTTAGTTACACACAGGGCCAGTTGTTGCTTGTTTGCCCTATTCTTATTATTCCTGAACTGGATTAAAAATCTGTCTCCTCTTCAGTTTCATTGATATTTCAGCTGGCTAGTTAAACCAAATGAGGCAAATAAAGACTTGCCAAAAACTTTAAATTCTCCAGAAGACAATAGATGGTTGAATGACTAAATTTAGTTGCAAACATCAGTAAAAACCAAAGTCCATTGGAGTCTCTGTACACAAGTACCATAAAGTTTGAACAGAATTGCATGTTATACAACCACACCAACATAAGTCTGGTAGCCTGGCCTTTAGAGGTTCTTATAGTATGCTTGAAGTAGCAAGGTGCCCCTAAAATACTCAGGATTGTCTTTGTGCAAAAGAGATGTCTGTGTGAGGCTTCTGCAGCGTGGTTCTATGAGTAGTTGGCAACAGGCATCTCTGTAATACCCTTCTGCAGTAGCTGAGAACTGATGCTATCAAAGCTGATGTTTCCAGCTACCTCAAGGAAAACAGAAAGGAGCAATACAAAAGTTATGTCCTACAATACCCACTTTCTGCTTGAATTACATAAAACAGAGACTATCCAACGGTATGACTGTAAACATATTTTGTGTATCAGTGTTTGAACTGGTTTTAAAATACAATTTATTTTACAGATACCTTTCCCACTTTTCATTTTTGCCAGATGTAAACACCAGGTTTTTGTATGGACTATGGAATACACCAACTACTCAGTGCAGCTTCTACAATAAATCAGATTATTAGAACAAAAAAGAAATATGGAAAACCCAGAAAACTCTGTTAAGGACAATGCACAGCCTTACTTTCACAGATATGCCAAGTTAAACAGGGTATTCTTCAAAAAAACTTTTGAAAATATCTCCTTAATTTGCAGAGCACTCTCGCTTTGGTCTACCATGACTGCTTTTCTCCTTACTGTTCTGCTTTTCTGACAGATAAAAAGGCTTGGTTTATGCCCTTAACTTCAAGAACTAGCAACATCTTGACATGAAAATTGATCTTAACCAAAATAACTCCCAGTGAGTGGTTCCTGAGTTCACGATGCACAGTGAGATGTGCTGGGCACAGACAAAATGGTATCTCAATTCTCAAAGTGCAAAGACTCCTACTTGCTGCTTTCCACCACCATAAAAGGAAGATCAAATTAATGGACTTAAATAGAGCAAATGCAAGGTTGGCTGAGGAGGGGGAAACACAGGTTGAGATCCCTAATGCATTTTACTGCCTTGATTCTCTTAACAAAACTTATTTGGAAAATACTTTTCCTTCTCAAGTCTCAGACATCCTTTGCTTAGCTAGATGCCATTAAGGCTCCACTTAAATTAAAAACAAACAAACAAACAAAAAGAATAAAGGGACGTATAATGAGCTTTTTTTGTAAACTACTTTCATTAAAATATGCTGCAAGAGAAAATCATGCTTATGAGAAGTCAGTTATAACCAAGCATAACAGCCTAGACTAAATGTGTTGGACTGTCTGCAGGACAGCAAAGTACAGTCATTAGCACCATAAACTCCTTCCCACTATTATTTTGCATTGATTTATTAACATAGACATCTTTCAGCAATGTCCTGTAAACGTAGTTAGTGTTTCTACTACACTGAGCTTCTGCTGATTCTCAGAGCAGAGTAAGTTTCTTCGAGAGAGACGAAGTTAAGCAATTTAGTAGTTTAAAACTTCCACAGAGTCCATGTTAAAGCCACAGCAACACACCCTCCCTACTTGTGTTCACTTTGCTTCTTAGATTTGTATCTGGGCAAATGGATGCACATGAAAGTCTCTGAAATCAGGAGCTTTAATAGATGGCACAACCAGTAAAGAGCAAAGAATATGCTGAGGGGTGAAAAACCTTTAGCGGTCTCACGTACAAATATATACGTTTGCCACCTGCTTTAATACAGTGCTATACTGTAAATGCTCCCAGTGTCACTATATAGACTAAAACAAGCACAAAATGCCATTTATTGATCAAAGCACATGACTTTAAATGTATCCTGTGTTTCCCTCAATTTGTAAAACATAATTAACTTTTAATTCACTAGCTGTTTGGTGGAAATGTCACACAAGAGTCTTGTAACTCTACATACTTACACTAACTAACTGGAGGTGTTCACACTAATTGTGGAACCAGAAAAAAAAATACACATCTCTTGTGACATATACACTTAATTATGTCAGGTTGCTATTCGTGGAAATTCTACCACCCAACAGGCATTGCGTACACATGCTTGCCTCTCAGTATCCAAAATTCACTATAATTTAACTCCAGAAATCTCCGGGCCCCAAATGACAGCGAGTGGCATTGCTCAGACACACAGAAAGTCACTGTGCAACTTACAGTTCATATGGCATAGCAAGACTTAAGATTTGAAATCTTACAAAACTGTTTAATCTACTTCATTTCCTGTGCATTAACTTTTCCCAGCTTGATCAGGGAAGGGTGAAAAAGAAATAATCCATTTTGTTACCCATCAGCCTGATTTATGGAAAACTATTATTTACAAATGTGGAGCCAAACTCAGTTTGGAATGTGAGATCTGTAATGGATTTCCAGAAAGTTTTACACCAGTTTGACTGTCCAGAGCTCTTGAAGTACTCTGAATTTCACAATAGTGCATTCAAGCAAATATGAGGAATATAGTGTTCAGAGTGCCAAGAAATACCTTTATTATATTTCTGGGCACCAAATGCCTCTGTGAAGTTGTTTGTGATGGTTCATCATTTGCAGAGTTCGAACACAACATCAAGTTAAGGGAAGCAAAGCAGAAAAAGTATCATGGTGGTTCAGATTAAGTCAATCCTAAAATAATCCCAACAGTCACGTTCGGCAGGCAGTGAAACAATCGTTTTACTCAGCCAAGAGTGTGGAAAACATGAGAAAATTATTAGAAACATACTGGTTGCTTCAGAAAGGACCTGCTGTAAGCAGCCTATAAATTGGTCCTTCAAGATCTGGGCTTACTGAAGTAAATTAATACTTACCAGTGTATGTGAGAAGAATGTCAAGCACAGGTAAGACAGTACATATAAAAAGCACATATACGTGGCTTCAAATCCACATCCCAGACTGCTGTGCACGTTTGGGCAAGTAAATTATGCTAGTTTATGAAGAAGCTGATTCTGTACCAAGACATATCATTGATGCCCAAAAATGTCAAGACATAACAGACAGGATTAAATAAATTTAGAAATTAATTTCCTGGTGCTATCTTCACATTCTGAATACTCTCATTTTTTTATAGCAAGTGCTACTGTTAGACATTATGAACTCCAAGAAAGTTTTATTGAACAAATATATCCTCTTATATAAAGAGCTAATGTATTCCCCTGTGCACACAAAATAGTGGTACTATTTTGTTCACACATGCTTTTCTTCACCAAGAGAATGTGCCATATTTTTGAATCGTATTTGCTTTATCTGACTAGTAGGAAAAAACCACATTCCTCCTAGGAACATTTACAGTCAGCCTGACTCTGATTCAGAAGGCTGTTTTAAGTGTTCAGTTTTATCCCACAACCCTAAAACACCTTGCAATAAAAGAAGACTAGAAGACAGAAAGTTAGTACAAACCAAGCTCCTCCTCTAGAGCATCCACTGGTGGTAGAGCAAAAAGGGAAGATACAGAGACAAGATGCCATGTAGTCCAGTGCTGCAAGGCAGGCAGAGCTCCTGCTTTCTGAACTCAGGATTCAGCTGGGAAACCCCCCTGACGCAGGAGGATCCAAAATAAGGCAACAGCCACTTCTAATATGCAGCAAATTTAACTCCAACAAAATCTTGTAGAAGAGTCATTATACTTCAAGTGAAGTTGTACTGGTATGCCACATGGAAACCAGGTAACCCATAGCACTATTTCTGCTCTCTTATCTTTCCCTTCAGCTTCTTCCCTTCACCTTTTCTATCAGCACCCAAAGCCATGCAGACCTATAAGGCAATCTAGACTGCTTTACAAATTCAGGCATATACATTATACAACATACGCATAATCTGGAAAATGCATTAGCTTTTTTGGTGTTTATTCTGTTTAACATTTCATGTAGATATTTTGTGACTCTAACAAAGATTAACTTAAGAAGAATCATATCAGTGCTCCTAAATACCATCATTCTGCTCTTTCCTTTCATGAATATACATCTCTTACCTGTACATGAATAATCATCAATGCGTATATATCCTGTTTTGCAAATGCACATAAAGGATCCTGGTGTATTTACGCACATGGTATTCTCACGACAGTAGTGCCGTCCTTCAGCACACTCATCAATATCTGTGAATAAGGCAAAAAGGAACATGAGTCAAATTCGGCACATTCTTTACAATCTCTCAATACACTGCTATTCAATTCCATCAGTAGTGGCTTAGACTAAAAAGTTACTTGAGCAGCAATGGATTTTGGAAAGGTTTTTTGGCTTTCTCCTTTAAAAGAACTGCTTGAAGTGTTCAAACAAGAGGAGCAGCATGAGCTTTCTGTAAGCAGCTGTTAGTGGAGTTACAAAGGAGATTACATTGGCTTACATCTTTCCAAAGTCCTTTTGAAGTACCTATGATGTTATTCCTGTGATTTAAATAAGATTAAAAAAAAAAACCCTAGAGTCCCAAATAGCAAACCAACTGCCTCAGCACTGCAATGTCATCCATCACTGCAGCCGTATAGTCACTGCAGTCATCAGCATACACACACGCTACTATATGCATACCACATGTCTTTGATCTGACAGGTGGTGTTGTTTGGGAAGGAACTGTAAGGAACATGGTAAAATCTGAAAAGACACCAGAACTTCTTATAAGTTTCTCTTAGAACTATAGAGTAGCCAATTGGTAACTTTAATATATAGAAAGACATATCTATATCTATACATATCTACATACATATGTATATAGATACATATACACACACCATATCTGAAGGGAACCTGAAAGAATCTGATTATATAAAGACCTGCTTTGACAAACATAATTGCAACTTGATAAAATACTTGTTGGGATGGAATACCCGCTGCAGTATAAAGTCCTAAAGCAAACTTCAGATGGAAATCACTGCAGGCACGGACTTCAAAACCTGATTGGTTTTGGTACTCCCTTGGGCTTCAAAACTAGACATATTTCTTGTAGCAGGTTATACTTCAACGGTAAGATGGAGAAAGTACCACAAATAACAAAAAAAACTTCTGCACACTAGCATTATGCCTCAAAGAAGAACAGCTATATTAATTTGGAAGTGACTAGTAACACTAATGATGAAGACAGCATTACTGAGATGCTCTGTATATCTAGATATATTGTCATACAATGTGCCACTGAACCTTGTTACAAAAGTATGTTAAAAATCAAAGGGGTGGATTGTTGACTTCGGTTTTTTTCCTGCTCATCAGTTTTTATTTCCTCCCTGTTTTCAATTATGTTTACAGATTTCAGAGTTGAAAATAAAGTCTCTGGATGGAAAACAGCATTGCATTCCAACGTCTGATAATAGTTCAAACAATAGACTGGATATATAAATTCAAATCAAAGTTGACTTCTTAATGCTGTGATGCTAACTGTCAACAGTGTTGTTAACTCCTGTACTTCTGTTTAGGTCATATGCTTATCTCCCAATTCCTCCCCTCTTCCCTGTGTCTTTAAATCAATAGCTACTTATCAACTTTACTCATTGCCCGCTTTTTTCCCCCCCCTTTAAATTCCCAGAAGAAAATTTGCCTTCCAGTACAAAACAATGCAAGACACGGAATATTAGTGATTCTGTAGCATTTCCTAATTTCATTCAGTTTTGAAAAAAGCTTCTATTTTCCCCAGTTCCTCTGCCCAGTGCAACTGTGCTGCTGGATTCTTCTGGAGAAGCCGAGGGCAGTTTGTTACAAACCATGCACACGTCCACCACAAATGCTCAGGGTTGTGAGCCCGGCCTGCTTTGCACAAATTCAGTTCCTAGGCATTTCACAGCCAATATACTTCAGCTGGTTTCCTTCCCTTCCTTTCCCTGTAAGCTCTGCAGGTGTGGAAGAATCAAACCTCTATTAGGGTGTTGGTTTAGAAAAGCTAATTTTGTAATTTTCATGTACATACATACACACACAAATAAATGGGTATTCATGTGAGCACAGTGAGCATTTTAATACTCAAAACACATTTTGTGAAAGTCATATAAGAAAGCAAAAAATGTGAAGCTATCACAAGACTACTGCAAAGTCAGCTGGTTTTGCACAAAGTGGAAAATGGCACAGATCTCCTGACGTACAGGTGTTCTGCAGAAACATAAATGTGAAGTCCACAAAAGCAGCCAGCAGTTACAACATATGCCTCAGCTACTACCTCAAACAATGCAGATTGTGTCTTTCATAATTCCAGTTAACAACTCCGTACTAAATTAATGGTGTTGATTTGTATTTAAGTAACAACATCAGTCTTCGAGTAATGAGAATCCTTATGTTCTTGGTGTCAACAGACTGCCTTGGAGTTGGTTTTGGCACCCTCAGAAAATTCTACTTAAGGATCTAGAGCCTCAAAAGCATTAAACAGAACTTTCTGAAAACTATATTAATGATTGCTTTGGGAGGTAAATAGCCACGGGAGACCCAAAACACTAATGGTTTTCATTTTGCAGTGAGAAACTTGAAGCCAGAGCTACTTTGATTCAAACCTCGTAATTTATAAGTGTTCTAAATAAAAGCTTTCATTTTGCCAACATACCACATACTGAGGTTTTTCAAAATGTTTTATTTATAATTAGCTTTATTTCAAAACTTTGCCTGTTCCATTGTAACCAAAAAAAAACCCCACAACTGATCAGGTTAACTTTGGATTGAAGTGTTTAATTTGAACAAATTTGGTTTTAGTTTCTTTTTATTTTCCAAACTGATTTGCAAAGATATTGTCCATATTTTTATAATGCTCACTGGAAAGCAAAACACTTTCCCACTCAGCTCTCTAGAAAACCTATACAGAAGCAAAAGAAATGAAGTCATTATTATTGCTTCTATCACATTATCGTATTGCACTGGCACCTAAAGACCGTAATCAAGTGTCAAAACTCCACTGGTCCACACCATGGATGCACAGCTGATAAGAAGCTGCTTTTACAGTTTGCAACTTTAGCACTAAATGACATCACCACTGTAATTAACACAAAATTAATACAAAAAGGGTAAAGTAATGGTCACATGACAACTTGTCATGCAGAGGTTGACCACGCTAAAACCATGCAATTCCATTCCCCCTTTAGCACTCCATATGCAAGCTTCATATACATTAGGTTAAGGTATTACAAATCAAGGAAGACTGAACTGG